CGGAAGGAAAGGTGGAGCCCGATGTCCTCAGCTACAGCGCTGGGACCAGAGCGTGCGAGAAGGGCAAACAGCAGGCAGTTCCGACACTACTCTTACGAGACGCGGGAGGGGAAGCTGGAGCCCGATCTCGTAAGCAACAGCAGCACTGCAGACATCATCAGCTACAATGCTGGGGACAGGCCGTGCGAGAATGCCAATGCACTTGAGAAGGGTAGGCAGTGGCAGCAGGAGTGGAGGAAGGACGCGAGCCCAACGCCATCAGCAACAGCGCAGCTCACACGGTGGGGCGGCCAGCTCGTGCGGAGGAGGCTCAAGAATGCGCGTGAAAAGCACGGGCACGCGGTGGGGAGCAGGCAGCGGCAGCAAGGGGGGCAGTGGCAGCATTTGTGTCGCTGCTCAAGTGTTTTGGCATCGGGCGAGACACATCTCGGCTACCGTGCAGGGATCAGCTCGTGCGAAAATGCAGTGGCAGAGGCGGATACGCTTCCAAATGCAGCCGTGTATAGTCCAGCTCAGGGACGGCCCGGGTGTTTGTGCATGGGTTCGGTCGGTGGGCCGCGGGCGGTGGCGAGCGGAGGCGACAGGGAGTCTGGAGGAGGAGGAGGAGGAGGAGGAGGGGCAGGAGGAGGATGAGAGGAGGAGGAGGAGGAGGAGGAGGAGGAGGAGGAGGAGGAGGAGGAGGAGGAGCCGAAGGCCGCGGCAGGCGCGAGCGGCGGCGCTGGGCGGGCTGCCCAGAGGCGAGGGAGGGCCCGCCCTGGCACGCCCTGCCGGGCCGCCTGCTGGTTAATTTCACCCTTCTCCCTCGTCCTCCGCCTCCTCCTCCTCCGCCTCCTCCCTCCTCCTCTCCTCTCCTCTCCTTCACCGCCCTCCCCTCCTCCTCCTCCTCCTCCTCCTCCTCCTCCTCCTCCCCATCCCCCCAGGGCTCATTACAACTCCTCCGACTCGATCCGATTCGACTTCGATCGATTCTGATGCCGTTTCGATTTGATTACAGGTTCCGATGTGGATCTCGGCTTCTGCATGGAAGCCCTACTAACCTCCCGATTTCCGCCGATTCGGCTTCTCCTGACTTGGCTGCCAACTTCCGCCGACCCAGTGCACTTCGATCGGCGATCCGACGTATCGATTCGATTATGGGCTTTCCTATTTCCCCCGTATCCCCCATCCGCCTCATCGTCCTCCGAGGCGGTGGGGCGCTGAGATGAGTCGCGCCCTTCTCGGCATGGATCGTGCCCCTCCCCCTCCGCGGGCGATTGCGATCTGCGGGCCGAGCTCTCACGCACTGAGGAGAGCACACGAAGACCCGAAGGCGCTCACTCGTTCTTCGTCTTATTATGATCAGTATTACTCTTCGTATTCGTATTAATAAGTGTGTTGTGATTATCAGTTGATTTCTCATTATTATTTATATTCTTATTTATAGCTTTAGTGTTACGATTTTGACTCTTCTTTATTCCTCTCAGTGTTCCTCGTCGCCCTGGCCTCCCCGCCGCTTTCCCGCACGTGTCTCGCATGGCTACTCCTCGCCACCCACACTTCTCCCAGCGGCTTGACTTCATTACGGGCGCTGCCCACCCGCCTCGCGAAGGCTCCCCTTCGCCTCACAGGACGTCGAGTGCGCAGTACAGCTTCTTGGTGCATGAGTGACGGAGGAACGACATCACACTGCTTACGGCTGGTGCCCAGTGCCGGTGTCAGTTCTGGCTAGGCGCCAGCCCTGCGCCTTTGAGTCGAGATGCTTTGAGCCAATCAGTCCTGCTCCTCCTGTTTTCCTCCTCATCCTCCTCCTGTACTCCTGCTGTACTCCTCCTCCTCCTCCTCCTCCTCCTCCTCCTCCTCCTCCTCCTCCTCCTCCTCCTCCTCCTCCTCTTCCTCCTCCTATACTCCTCCTCCTAGCCTCCCACGCCCCCTCCCTCTCCTCGTCCTCCCTCCTCGTCCCCCTCCCACTCCTGCTCGGGCTGCTCCTCGCTCCAAGTCGCCCTCCTCCTGCCCTCCTTTGTCATGCTGCTCCAGTGCCGCCAGGAGCTCCTGATGGGGAGCAGTGGCGAGTGCACCTCTCCGGAGGGTAGCCCACCTCCCTCAGGCCCCCGGAGACCAGGACACAGATGGACCAGGACACGGAACACCAAGGAAACGACATCCTTGCCTGCAAAGTCACATAGTCCATCACCCGTGCATGTTTTGTTTATTACACTGCAGGATTCGGGTTTGTGTCCAGGTTTAGCGGGGTCTTGCAGGCATTTAGGGCCTGTGTCTGGGTTTACTCTGGAAGTGCTGCAGTGCAGTATTTTGTTTGTGCCGCCGGCTGGACAACTTGGTTTCGAGGGATGTTGCGTGTCCGGGTCCGGCGTGCCCGGGTCTGCGGGGCCACGGGAGAGAGCGCCTCAGTGAGCGGCGGGGCGCGTGGGGCCTCCCCCCTTCTGCTGGACGCGTGGGGCGTGTTCCGCCGGGTCTTCCGCAGGAATAGGAGGAGCATGGGCAGGATCAGGAGGAGGAGGAGGAGGAGGGGAGGAGGAGGAGGAGGAGAGGGAGGAGAAGAGGGGGAGCAGGAGGAGGAGGAGGAGGAGGAGGCTTCGCCCCGCTGTCTCTCCGCGGAGCGCCGCCTGCCCGCCGTGGTCTGGGGCCTGCGGTGTCGGGCGCCCGCCGCGTGGACTCTCGGCCCGATCGCTGCTCCTGCTGCCTCCTCACCCCCCCTCCCCCTCCTCTCCCTCTCTCGTCCTCCTCCGCATCTCCTCCTCCTCTCCTCCTCCTCTCATCCTCCTCCTCCTCCTCCTCCTCCTCCTCCTCCTCCTCCCCCTCCTCTCATCCGCCTCTCCTCTCCGCCATCCTCCTCCTCCTCGTCCTCCTCCTCCTCCTCCTCCTCCTCCTCCTCCTCCTCCTCCTCCTCCTCCTCCTCCTCCTCCTCCTCCCCCTGAGGCCGAGCAGGAGGAGGAGGAGAAGCGCCTGGACGCGATGATGGAGATCGACAGGCCCCGCTTGCTGGCCGGCGCCGCCCTCGTCGACCTCGTGCCCGTCGTCGACGGCGAGAGCATGGCCGTCGTCGTCGTCGTCGTCCTTATCGCCGTCCTGCTGCTCCCTCCTCTTTGTATGCGTCCCTCCTCTCTCCTTCCCTGCCTCGCTCCCTCCCTCCAGGCTCATTCCTCCACCCCTCCCTCCCATCTCGCGGGTCGTCCTCCTCGTCGTCGCCATTGTTCCCCCTCCGCCTCCTCCTTCTCCTCCTCCTTACATCCGTAGCCATTTTGGCTCAAGCTGGCTCGAACCCCCCCGGCGTGGCGCCGTGTGTGTGTGTGTTTGTGTGTGTGGTGTGTGTGAGAGTGTGTGTGTGTGTGAGTGTGAGTATGAGTGTGAGTGTGAGTGTGAGTGTGAGTGTGAGTGTGAATGTGTGTGCGTGTGTGCGGGTGTGTGCGTGTGTGTGCGTGTGTGCGTGTGTGCGAGCGTGTGCGTGCGTGTGCGTGCGTGCGCGTGCGTGCGTGTGTGTGTGTGTGTGTGCGTGCGTGTGCGTGCGTGTGTGTGCGTGCGTGTGTGTGCGTGCGTGTGTGTGCGTGCGTGTGTGTGCGTGCGTGTGTGTGCGTGCGTGGGTGTGCGTGCGTGTGTGTGTGTGTGTGTCTGTGTGTGTGTGTCTGTGTGTGTGTGTCTGTGTGTGTGTCTGTGTGTGTGTCTGTGTGTGTCTGTGTGTGTGTCTGTGTGTGTGTCTGTGTTTGTCTCTGTGTGTGTCTCTGTGTGTGTCTCTGTGTGTGTGTCTCTGTGTGTGTGTCTCTGTGTGTGTCTCTGTGTGTGTCTCTGTGTGTGTCTCTGTGTGTGTCTCTGTGTGTGTCTCTGTGTGTGTGTCGGTGTGTCGGTGTGTCTGTGTGTCTGTGTGTCTGTGTGTGAATGTGTGTGAATGTGTGTGTGAATGTGTGTGTGAATGTGTGTGTGTGTGTGTCCACGCGGCAGCGGCGGCCGCGCGCGGCTGAGTCGGCCGAAAGCCTCGTGAAGAGGTTGGTGGGCGAGTTGGCTGCCGCGGAGCAGAAGGCCAAGCTCGTGCACGACCAGGGCGAGGCCTTGTGCGGCGAGCCCGTGGAGGGCCCGCGCTCGGCGGCGGACGCCCCGCGCCGGCCTCGCCGCTGGCGGGGCGCACGCCGCGCGACCTCGACCAGCTTCGCAGGAAGGTCGCCCTCCGTGCGCGCGCGGAGGGCCTCGACGTCGGCACGGCCAGGCCTGGTGCGCGCACCGCAGCGCAGCGCAGGGCCCGCCTGGGGATGGGCGCGGCGCGGCGGCGAGAGGCGGACGACGATGCGGTGGGGCAGCCCGCGTGGGGCCTCGTCGCCGAGTCGGCCGCTCGTCATGCTGTTGCGCGGCCGTCGGCGGAGCAAGGGGGGTGAAGGTGCGGAGCCGCGCGAGATGGTGGGGAACGTGGAGGCGCCCTTGTTTGTGCCCGCCGTGGTGCACAAGCTCCTGTTCGACGGCGTGTTGTGCACCTGCGGCGTTGTGGTCTCCTCCGGCTGCGGGCGGCTGCCGTCGGAGGCCGCTTGACGCATGCCTGGCGAGGGCCGCGGGGCGGCCGGGCGTGGGCGAAGCGGCCGTCAGTTCCAGGAGCAGGTCATAGCAGATGCCACGGGTCACGCGAGCAGCGGCGGCGGTCTTGTTGGCAAGTGCGGCGGGGCCTCGCAGGTTTCCGCGCACAGTGACGCGCCTGGCGGCCATGCGCTCCGTGCTAGCGCTCCCGTCTCCATTCCGAGGGCGATGAATGTCCCGATGGGGTGCAGGACTTGGAGGAGCCTGCTGATGAACTCGTCTTCGGGCGGGATAATGACGAGCAGCAGCAGCGCAGGGCGGTGGCTGACAACGCGGAGGTGGACGGGGAGCTGGAGAAGAAGCGTAGCGCACTGGAGTCCTATAGTCTGGAGAAGCACGACCTGACCGCTCAAGCTCTCTTGGCTAGCGTTGGTTGAGGGCTCCGTCACGTAGCCTAGGGCGGGGAGGCTCGTGCTCCTCCTGCGCCCTGGGACGGAACGCTTCCT